GGGCGTCCAGGAGCCTGTGGGTTGGTGGTGGGGATTTGGGCAGCGGGGGAGGGTAGGTTTAGAGAGAGAGAGAGCTAGCACAGGACCCAGCGGAAAGATCCGGATCATGCTTCCTAAAGTCGGTGTTGTGTTGGCTGAGAAGCTAACAAGGTGGAGCGGTGGTAGCAGCCTCGCACCTGGGCCCTGCCTGAGGCTCAGCTGCCCCGTTTCTGTCTTCATGCTGGCTCTGTCCTGCCTTCCATGTACCTGGACCAGCCCTCGGATTGCCTCCCGCGGGGATGGGATGTGTGCATGGAACTGACCCTCCGTTGTTCCTCTGCCCTCAGAGATGGAGATGGCCAAAGCCCGGAGCCAGCTGGATGCCGTTCTGCAGTGTCTGCTGGACAAGAGTCACATGGACAGGTGGGGTCTGGTCCAGCCCGGGGCACCACGAGGGTGGGAACTGTGTTTGGACCCTGTGGCTGTGGTTGTGGTGGGAATCTGCACGGGAGCCCAGAGGCTGAGTGAGGGAGAAGAGTGTTCCCTGGGGAGACTACTCATTATCATCAAACTCTGGGCGCTTGGTAACCCAAACCAATAGTGCTTCTCTTTTTGTTGTTCCCAGGGAACGTCTAGATGAAGATGCTGGGAAAACGCCCTCAGATACACACAATAAGTAAGGGGTTTTCATAGTTGTTTTTGTTTTTTGTTTCTCTGTGGCTTTGGAGACTGTCCTGGAACTTACTCTTGTAGACCAGGGTGGTCTTGAACTCACAGAGATCCGCCTGCCTCTGCCTCCCTAGTGCTGGGATTAAAGGCGTGCGCCACCACCGTCTGGCTTGATAGGTTTAAGACCTGAGAGTTAATAACTTTTCCCTCTTCTGAGTCCCAACCATTTTATATGGGCAGAGATACCTATGGAGTAAGTGGCTAACACTTTGGGGGTGTTCATGGGATCCCCAGCGCTGAGCCCCAGGGCTTCTGCCCATACTGTGTGAATGCTCTATTACTGAACTGCATCACCCTGCCTTGGGGTGGGGGTGTTGAGCAGCCTGCTGATAGCCTGTCTCTCCCTGCAGGGATTGCTCCATCGCTGCCTCAGGCAAAAGGTAAGGTGACCGGGGCCCCTGCCCACTCTGAGGTTCCGAGGCCCCAGCTCTGGGTCTGACACTCACCTTCACCACACAGGCCCTCTGCCCGCTTCCCCCACCAGCGGAGGAAGAAGAGGAGGGAGATGGACGATGGGCTGGCAGAGGGGGGTCCTCAGAGATCCAGTGAGTAGGCAGGGGCCGGCCCTGGGGGGGGCGTGGCACCCAGGACTAAATCAGGGTGCTCATTTGTGTCCCACCCCACCACCCCAGACACATATGTGATCAAGCTGTTTGACCGGAGTGTGGATCTGGCCCAGTTCAGTGAGAACACGCCATTGTACCCCATCTGCCGTGCCTGGATGCGTAACAGCCCCTCAGTGCGAGAGCGAGAGCGGGAGCGCTCGCCCAGCTCACCACTGCCCCCTCTGCCCGAGGACGAGGAGGTGGGACGAGTGGTGGGGGCTGCCCCAGGGTCCAGAGAGCAGTGGGTGGTGAGGCTCCCCCCTAGTGGTAGTCTCTGGGCCCCTAAATGATTATAGAGTCAGGGAGAACACACAGCTGTGTGTCGTTAGGTGAGAATCATGGACAGAGGGATACAGCTCCCTAGGGAACAGGAATCCAAGAACTAAAGGGCTAAGCAGGGCTCTTTAGTGCAGACAGATGCCTCGGCAAGCTGACCCTGTGAGCTGGGTGGAGGGTCATGGGGGTTTGGAAGTCATCTGGCCTAAGAGGATAAACAGGGATCCCTGGAACTGACAT